GTGCGAGAGCCCTTTTTGGCTAGAACTAGCAGTTCAATTTTGGGAGGGGAATTGGGTTTCGCCATGCAGTATTGCAGTCCATACCCCTCTCAGTCCCCTACCACATACCATTCGACAGATATTATTTGTCAGTCACTGGGGTAGGGAGAGTGAGATCGTGTTAGGCCTATACGGGATCGTAGCACCAAGTCCCCCCCCCCTAGCGTCAATTGGACTCCTGCATATGCCCCACTCAGGCTCTGGTTTTGAAGATGGTGTAATAATGCAGGGCTTATACAACACTTATAACCATTGTACAGCACCTTTTATTATTGATTTTTTTCTGTTTATTTATCCATCTTTTGAAAATCGGTAATACAATCTGTTGAAGATCTCAGTACGTCCAGTAAACGGTGAACTCTATGCGGATCTGGTTGTAAACGGACAGCTCGATCGAGAATATCGCGACAAGTACGAACTGATTGTCGAGGCGATCGATGGCGGCAAACCAGCAAAGTATGAACACCTTGTTTATTCACCATACAATATTACGAATTGATTTCTGAAAGTTTCAATTAGTATAATCATCATTTTCGTTGAGTCCTACAATTAGACAAAAGCTTTGGAAACCATTCTGGAGCTTTCAGTACTTTATTCGCTTTTTGTGTATCACAAATGTTAAGTGCCTAATTTAATGAAGTGTGGTGTTGTACAACATGAGACGCGTGCGGTTGCGCAGCGGCTAGACATACTCTTGCTTTCGGAAGTTTGCATTCCGCACGGGTTTTTCAATCAACAAACCAGATTTCTTCGTTCTCAAATGAGCAAGTCTATAAAAAAGCTAGGGGACCGCGAAATGACTCATCGCTTGTGGCAGCGCTGCTACGCAACCGCACGCAGCCATACCAGTAAAACTTTTTGCCTCATTAGGTTCGCTTCTAGTGTGCTTTTCACTCGAAAATGAGACAATTCCGTCTAAACTTTTATTGCAAGCACGTTTTTTATGTACTATAAATTTTCAGAGTCGGCCGCCTACTCGTGCACATCTTCATACTGGACGCCAACGATAATGCCCCGATATTCAGCCAACCACGTTACAGTATCACAGTACCCGCGAATCTTACCATTGGATCTCAGCTGCTCACCCTGAAAGCTACCGATGCGGACGTTGACAGCAACGGTCGAGTTGGATATCGCTTTCAGAAGGTTCGCTACTTTGAGCTTTCTAGTGTTTAGAAGAATTATTCTTGAACAACGTCCTTGTAATCA